GATCTTATATATATATATGTGTGTGTGTGTGTGTGTGTGTGTGTGTGTATATATATATATATATATGTATATGTATATAAAACGTGACAGATATTTTTCATCATATTCATTTATTTTGGAGTCAGATATGAATATTGAAGTTTATTAAAATATTGAGAGAGTTAATGAAAACATTAAAATGTATTACCAACTATCATGATATGGAGGACCTTCTCTAAAATAACTTAAGCAATAATCTAAATTCAAATAATTTTAGAAGTGTATTTTACATCCTCATGATCCTAGTAGTACGTTATATATCGATGTTTGACTGTATTAAAATTACAGATTTTACGAAGATAATTTCTAAAAATTTTAGAATGAAATTTTCTTATCTTAATTATCATAAATATCTATAATTTTCAAGACTTAACTATTGGACTTTTATCTTGGCTATGTATGTAAATAATTACATTTCTAGTATTTTTTTTTTGAGATAGCACCCAATACCTTTTTATAAATGTAATTTACTCAAAAAAATTAATTATTTATTTTATTAATAATAATTATTCTCTTATTTTATAACAACCTTTGTTATTCAATTTTTTTAAGATTATTTTACTTTTTTTTAATTATGTAGTATCTCACTTGATTTACAATTTATAATCTCTATTGTATTTTTTTTTAACAAAATTCAGAGTCATAAAATGTCTCATTATTTTTTAAACAAAACACACGTATCATTAAGTGTTGGAGTACGAAAATAGTGTAAAATTGAGTATTGAATATAATATCTAACATATTTTTAACTTTTAAGGAGTTTCATTGTAGGTTTAAATAATGGAGAAATATTGAGTGTAATTTTGAAAAAAATACAAGACTTGTGAGTGTAATATTTTTTCAACTTTTAAGGAATTTTATTGTAAATAATAAAAGAGTATTGACTTTCACTATAATCTTGAAAATATACAAAGATGTAAATATAATTTACTCAATAGTTTATTTTTAGCTTTGGGCTTAAAGAGTACACAACTTATGGGCTTTTTGACCATTGTAGGCCATTTTTTTAAAAACAAATTAAGTAAATAGAGTTAATTTAAATCTATTTATACTTTTGAAATTGTTCTTGTATGTATGGTTAATAGTGATACTCGTGACACATGAAAAAAATCAATTATATATTTTTTCCTATAATTATTACACAATGAGCCATAAGATTCGTTATAGTCAATAGTGACATCATTAAGGTCATTATTAACCATAACAACTTGTTAAAAAATACTATATATAGAGTTGGATTTTTAAAGTTGCTATAGACCATAATGGCATTGTATTTTTTTTTACTACTATGCCCCTATGACACCATTTATTTTAAAAGAATTTTTTTTACGAGTGATTTAATTTTTAAAAAATTGTTATATATATTTTTTAATTTAGTTAAGTTTATTTTTCTAAATTTGTAATATTTTAAAAAAACGAAAAGTATTTTTTAAAAAAAATTGGTATTCATATTAAACAAATCTTGCATACTTTTCATTTTTTTAAAATAAATTATCTTTACTTATTAGTTTTTAAAAAAATAAATGAAAAATAAAAACCCAATAAATAAATAAATAATTATCTAATATATTTATAAACAAATTTTACATATTTTTTCAATTTATTTAAATAAATTATCTTTATTCATCAATTTTTAAAAAATAAATAAAACAAACCAGAAAACAGATTAAAAAAAGGAGCTCACTATGGCCATCAACAACCTTAAAAAAACCCTAGTATTATAAAATAAAAAATTACTACAATCCATAGTGACCTACAAAAAGTGATTTATTTATTTTTAGAATATGTAATATTTAAAAAATGAAATTGATTTATTTTAAAAAATTGTTATATTTTTTTTCATTTAATTAATTTTATTTTCTAAATGTGTAATATATATATATATATATTATTTTTAAAAATAAATTATCTTATTTATCGGTTTTGTAAAAATAAAAAGTACTCAAAAAAATAAATATAAAAAAAAGAAAGGGGATGAGATTGTTATGGCCATTGGCGACTACCAAAAAAATTTATAAAAGAACAAAATTAAAATAAATATATAAATAAAAAGTCATTATAATCTATAACAATTAAAAAAATCATGTTTTTATTCGATTATAAATTAGTATAGTTGATAGCGTTACTATTTTATCGTTATTTTTGGTAAAAATAAGAAATATTATAAAGATGGTCGTAATAAGGATTGAATATAGGTCCTCATGCTTTAACTACCTCAACCCCTCCACATCTAATCACTAAGTTCACCTTAATGACTCATTTTGTTATTATTAAGTCTAGTGATTTTAACGTGACGTATTTATGACTATAAAAATATTTCAAAAATAATGATGTATCATTCTTGTTGCTATATGTCATAACAAGACTGAAGTAAATAGTTCAAAAAATGTAATATGCTTGAAAACAATTACATCTAATAAATGGTTTGTAAAACTGTCCCATAATTGTTAACAAAACCCAACTTTTAAGCTTTAAGTACATAAGTACAAAGAGACTCGATAAATATCTATATCAAAGAAAGACGTTAGTCGACCACAGACCTAGATGATACAAATCCTCCAAATTCAAGTATTAACATAAAATGAGATTCAGTGAACATCAATCCGATAAAAGTGTATACTATATGATAAGTAAATATATCTATTTCATAATTTTACTTTGTAATAATGATTTTTAAAATGTATCACCAACCAAACTGTACAACAAGCAAATATATTTGATTCATAATTTTACACTTGCAATAATAATTTTTTATTAAGATATCGAAACCAAAAATGACTGATACTAATTTTTTTTATTAAAATATTTTTTTTAACGTGATTTTAAACCGGTATACAGACTCCATAATCAACATTCAAGAGCATTCCCTTATAGAATGATATTAATGACACTAATAAAAATAATAAACAAACACATGATAATTGTTTTGAGTTTTGTATATACTTAATGTTTTTCAGTTTTGTACATATAGCTCACAATAACTCCATGTCAATGTAATGATGTTATTACGACAACATAAACAACTAAGAGAAGAGTGATTTATGCTCACATTTTTTGTTAAGGTTCAGAAGATTACCTTAGTGGTATGAAATAGTAGGTGTTATGGATAAGGGACATTAGCTGAAAAGTGAAAAGTCAAAGCGTGGTCGTTGGCATAAAAGGAGGAGTGGGGCTTGATGAGAAGAGCATTAGCTTGCATTTTCTTTTGTTATAATTCTCAAACTCACAAGTGAGAAACTAAGCAAGCCATTTTATTTATCTTTCGATTTGTAGGGTTTCGTTTCCGATTGAACCATGGCATATCCAGCTAAGAAGTTCATCAACGACCCCAACGGTATGCGTTTCTTCCATTCTTTTTCAATTTCTCATCACAATCAAATTCCATCCACTATGCCATACCTGTTATTAGCTAAGGAAACCATTGCATTCTTTTCTCTTTATTCCATATTATTTTACATGCAAGTTTGATTTGATCATTCCCATTTCTGTTCATTGCAGATGTTGTTACTGAATACATTCAAGGTCTTGTGCACACTTATCCTGCTCTCCAATATTTAGATGGCTTTCCTCAGGTGAGGTATTATTACTCACACATACACCTTTGCCTCTTGCCTTTTCACACATGAAAGTTCCTTAACATGTTTCATTTTTTTATTTGCACCGAGGAATGCAGGTGAAGGTTGTGTTACGTGCCGATGTTTCATGTACAACATACGATAAAGTTTCAATCATATCAGGTGAGGGACTTCGACCATCAATTCAGCTCTGTTCATAGTGTCACTTGGCTTTTCTACGTTCTCCATCATTCTGCTTTTTTGCTTTGATTTTAAGGAGTTCACTACTAGGACTCGCATAACATATATGTACCTTTACAATTCCTGATAAATTCTCAAATATAAACTAAATTAACCGATTCCTTAATTTTATCCTAATTCATGCCTTGAGAGTTGAGAAGAATTATTATGTAGTATGTATCTTTACAATTCCTCTCTCATACAGGGGGAGGAAGTGGCCATGAGCCTGCTCAAGCTGGATATGTTGGAGAAGGAATGCTGACGGCAGCCATCTGTGGGGACATCTTTGCCTCTCCCCCAGTCGATTCAATTCTAGCTGTATGGTTTCATCTTATTGTTGGAAGTGATGTGTATATTACCCTTTCAACTATAAATATGTTGGTATCTGTATTATGAATCTGCTGCATTTGCTCTTTCAAATTAGGGGATACGAGCTGTGACTGGTCCTATGGGATGTCTTCTGATTGTCACGGTACCGATACTTTTGATGCTCTTTCCTGAGTAGTTTTTTAAATTGTTTATGATGTGGAAGGAAAAGGCAGAAAATGCATGAATGATATACATACGTTTTTCTGAACGTGAACACCAAAATGTGTTTTTATAAAAGCAGATGTCTTAAATAGAAAAGAGTACATCAACTGAATTCCTTCATCCTTTTCTCTCCCATAATTGTGCACTTCCATATCTTTCCATTGAATCCCACAAATTTGAGCTGATGAGCTGGGTCGTGGTGCTAATAGATCGGTATATTTTGATGTTGTACTCAGAAAGTCTAATGTGATTAAAGAGAATTAGATAAAAGAAGTTGCATTTTTTTTTCAATAAATTTTTTTGGTACTCTACAAAGTCAGTTTTGAAATGTTTTTTTTTTTTCATTTTTTTTTTCATTATGATGTATGGATTTTGCACTAGTGTGGTCAGATCATGAGGAATCAATAGGATCTACTTTGTTTCTGGATTCATAGTGTTCAAATTTGGGTGTTGATAGAACTACACCGGTGATCGTTTGAACTTTGGTTTGGCTGCTGAGCAAGCAAAGTCTGAAGGTTACAAAGTAGAGGTATGTTTAGACTTTAGATGGAGGATTGTTTTCACCTTTAAGATATGATAACTGATATTATACAAGAGTGCCAAGTATTTTGCACCGTGCAGACTGTAATTGTTGGGGATGATTGTGCCTTACCTCCACCTCGAGGAATTGCTGGAAGAAGAGGTTTGGCAGGCACTATTCTGGTTCATAAGGTTTGTTCAGAAATCCCCTTCAATATTTATTATTGCATTCTGGATGTTTTGACAAAAAGAAATGTCTTTCTGGCATGTTTAATAATGTGAATTTATTTTCTTGTTGAAAATTGCAGTACAAGTATCAATAAATTATATTATAATCAAGTTCTTATTTACTTTCAGTCTTTCGTATTTAATCATATTTTTGTTTTGAGTGAGGCAGGTTGCAGGAGCTGCTGCCGCCGCTGGCCTTTCTCTCATTGATGTTGCTGCAGAAGCAAAACGTGCATCTGAAATGGTGGGCACAATGGGGGTTGCATTATCCATTTGCACACTTCCTGGTCAGGTTACATCAGATCGTTTGGGCCCTGAAAAGATGGAACTGGGTCTTGGAATTGTAAGATACCTTTAGATAGGCACCTTGTCTTTCTAAACAGATATTTTAAAACCTCAAATTATTTGTTACAGTGCAAATATGTTATTCAAAATCTTATATCCTAAAATAAGTTCTTGTAGTTATTTGCCTGTGCATTTCAGTTCATGAGACTCAAAATAATAGTTTCTCCCCCTCATTTCTTATTTTTTTTCTTCCTTTTCTGATTGATCTAGATGGATTTCTTATCTCACCTTTTTATATTTAATCTTCTTTCTCTTAAATCCTATTATAAGAAAAAAATATTACACAAAAAATATTTTCTATTTAACTCCCTAGCAATTGAAGTTTGTCTTCACTTCAGTTATTGCTTTCATTCTCATTCAAGTTCTGAATATTATACAGCATGGAGAACCTGGTGCAGCTGTGGCAGATCTTCAGCCTGTAGATGGAGTGGTTTCTCATGTTCTTATGCAAATATTGTCTCCGGTATGCCACAACTTAGATTTTGTTTTTCCTTTAAACATGTTTCATACAAGTCTTATAATGAAATGGTGTCAGCCTATGACTGTTTTTGTAATGTTTCTATATCTGATATTCAGGGAGAATGGAGATTTTGTGTACTGAGTTTTCCATCTTACATTCTTTTCTCTGCATTTGAATTAGAGTATTTCTACTCTATGCTGTTCAATTTTCTCTTGATATGGTTTCTTGTCTGTATATGTATATCCTTTGAAAGTCTGGGACTTTCTTTGAATATTTATTTTCATCTTGTCTGTCTATGCATACTCATTATATTTGTCAGTCACTTAGGCATTAATATACTAGTGTCTAACGTGCATGACTGCATGTCAACCGGGTTTTTGTTTTATCTTTATTTAGAGAGGAGAAATGCTAGTAACATATTCTATGAAACTATTGGCTAAATGTTTTTGAAAATCACAAAATTATGTTGGTCCCATTCTTATTTAATGAATCTCATTCAAGATTTTGTAGTTTTCAATAAATTTTAGCCAATAAAAGTGTTGATTGGAAGGAGTGTATTGCTAACACTCCTCAAAAAGAGAATACAGAGTATAAATGAACTTGTCTTTTACATTTCAAATACTTGCCTTCTAACTTCATATCCTATTTATTAAGGTTAATATTTATATTTTGGTCTTGCCATATTATAACAATATTAGTTAGTATAAAGAAGAGAAACGACAACAACAATAACCTTATCACTAGGTGAGGTTGGCTACGTGGATCATTTGGTGCCCGTTGGACTCAATTAAAAACTAAATTCTCATAAATATTATTCACCGTGAACTCTCTTTTAATAATTTTCTTTATGAAGAGGAGACAGATATTGACAACATTAGTTAATATTGACAATTATCAGTTTTATTTTATTGCTGCTATGTGAGTGGTATTGTTTAAGTTTTTGTGTCGCTCTTTGCATATGATTTCACAATGAAGCAATTAGTTTTAGATGATCATTCTTTTGAACTAGCTACAGTCATTTTTCTTTTGGTAATGTTTGCAGGAAACAAACTATGTTCCTATTACACGAGGTTGTAGAGTGGTTCTCATGGTCAATGGGTAGGTTCATAAATTTTATCTTTGCTCAATAACCAAATTTATCTTTTTGTAATTTTTATAGATTCATAATTTTCTTAGAAATAATATTTAAATCACAAAAGCCATTTTAAAAACATTATGCAAGTGCTTTCATGGATCTTTTCATTACAAAACATTGAAAATAAATTATCATAACATTGTACACATTTTATTTAGGTAGCACTAAATTTTAATCTGCAAATGCATATATGGCTTTAAAGAATTCTGTGGTTTTGACTACTCTTTTTTATATTTTATATTTTACTAGTGGTTGAGGGCAAACCTTGGTGCAATGGTAAGGTTTTCTGCTTATGACCTAGAGGTCCCAGGTTCAAATACTGGAAACAACTTTTCTGCTTGCTGCATAAGGCTGCGTACTGGCTATGAAAATGATTAGATTTGTTAATTTTGTGAATAGGAGTTCGCACACCAGTGATTTACTTTTGGTAAATACACTATTTTTAAACAGATTTTTTGGTATCTTACTGTTTTAAGTGTCAACTTGTTTTTACTACAATAGTTCAAGTGTCTATATTTCCACTCTCACTATTATGAATATGAACCAATTGAAGTTATTTCTGAGAAGCGAGTGCATGTGAGTCCTATTAATTTTTTTTCCTTCTTAAATGTCTTTTGAATTATCTATGATTTTAGTGAATCCCATAGTTTAAATGTTACATTGTCCATAATTTTATTGATGTTACATTAGAGCAGTCCTGAAGTGAGATTCTTCAAATGCAGGTTAGGTGGCACTCCTTTAATGGAACTAATGATTGTGACAGGAAAGGCAGTCCCAAAATTGCAGCTGGAACACGGGCTGGCTGTTGATAGGGTTTATACAGGGTCATTTATCACTTCTCTCGATATGGCAGGTAAGCAGATTTGTTATTGCAGATTATGGCAAAACATACATTTCTTTGAAATTCATTTCTGATTGGCATTTGTGTCACTCTTAGGTTTCTCAATTTCTATCATGAAGGCTGATGCATCTATTCTTCAACGATTAGATGCTGCAACTAAAGCTCCGTATTGGCCAGTCACGGAAGATGGTCAGTAATTATGCTAGTTGCATTTCTTTGACTGAACTCATTGCATGAACATGAAGACTTGAAAAAATTATATTGTGCTATGAACAACATAGCTTTTCACATCTTTAAAATCACATGTTAAGTGTCACAAGCAAATTCATTAAATTAAGCATTCAATGAGCTTTTGAAGTTGTTTCTTGATGACAGGTAATCGCCCACCTGCCAAGATTCCTGTTCCAGTTCCACTGTCTCAATCAGCTAAGAGTGACAAGGTACATCAATGGAAATCTTTCATTTCCTTCCATGACTTTTGAAATAATTAGTTTATGATCATTTCTGTCTAAACTGGCATTGAATATAGTTAAGGTATCATATGAATTGGTGAATAATATTCCATATTGTAGAATAGTGGTATTCATTCTCATTGCAAAAATAAGATGCAAAATAAACTGAATACAGAAAATATCCTAAAGTAGTATAATTATTGCAGTAGGATTGGCTCTTTTCTACTCATATTCTTCATTTCTGAAATTGTACCAAAGCAGTTCTGACTTGGGACTGCTTCTGTTTTCCTTTTTGCTTTATGTAAGCCACAGAGTCAGCCAGTATCACTAAATAAGCAAGGTCAGGTTCTTCAGGAAGCCATTGAAGCTGCTGCAAATGCAATTATAAATCTCAAGGACAGTCTAAATGAATGGGATAGCAAAGTTGGTGATGGTGACTGTGGATCAACTGTGAGTTCTATTCTCAAAAAGTCAAAATTATCATCATTCCTGTTTTATAAGTTATAACTGTTGATGTATCTAGTGCTTCACTTACTACATTCTGGTTTAATTTTGCAGATGTATAGAGGTGCAAAAGCAGTTCTGGAGGACATCAAAAAGTAAGTTTGTGCCCTATCTTGCTCCAGGGTACTACACTGGGGCAATCTGCTTGTATGTTATTGCAAGGAATGCTCTTCTCATTTTTCCTTGACTTTTTGACTATTGTAAAACCTCTTACAGAAAAAACGCACGAGTTATTTTTCATAGAAAAATAATAATGCATTACAAAAGGTTTTTATTTTTTATCTTGATTATGTCCTAGAACTTTCTACCAATACTTTTTATGGTAATCGTATTATCTAATTTGATCAGCTGGTGCAGTTTGGTTTTCAAATCACCGATCTTAATGATGGAAAAAAAAATAAAAATAAAGAGAGCACTTGAGAACAAATATCTTATTCAGTACAGAAGTATTGTTACTCATGTAAAGAATTCAAGATACATACCCATGGAGCAGACTCTTAAAGAATATCTGTGATTATTATCCATAGATTAACTGTTGGAAAGATAATTGAGGGAAAGGAAAGCAATCCAACTTTTTCTTCTGTTCTTACTTCTGCCAACCCAACTTTATGTATTCATTCATATGGGGCAATTTTGTCAATGCTCATGTGTAACGGGTATATTGATACCCATGCCTTGAATATTGACACTGCTATTTGCTCTTTTACACTTTATTGGGAGCACAAGGGTGACCAGTTATTTGCTTGCATTTTGGATTAATGAAGTGTTGATATATGTTGTTTTAGGCCTTTTATCTTTCCTTGAGAAACTTCAAAACAGCAGATGACTGCTGCAAAATATCATTGTCAATTTAAGTAGTGATTGTGATCTGATATGAACTTCCTATTTTTTGTTCATAGTTATCCTCTGAATGATGCTGCAGAGACTGTTGGTGAAATTGGATCGTCAATTGGACGAGCTATGGGAGGAACAAGTGGGATCATGTATTCTTCCATTGTTATGTATTCCATAAACCATAGTATTTATGCTATCTGATTATTATCACTTTCACACTTGATTGTATATATTTTTTTTCCAGATATACAATTTTTTGCAAGGCAGCATATACACAGCTGAAAGAAAATTCTCACTCTGGTGTCACGCCAAAACAATGTGAGAATATTCTCCTAAACAAGCAACAATTTATTGTTCTTTTGTTTATCTTGTCTTAGTAGAATCATCCTTCCATCATTGATTCTTCTGATTTAGGGGCTGAAGCACTTGCGGCTTCCATTGCTGCTGTTAGTAAATATGGGGGTGCTAGTGCTGGTTATAGAACATTGCTAGATGCCCTAATTCCAGCATTGTCAGTTCTTCAAGAGGTATCAACAATACTTGTTAATTGATCTTAACTATTAACAGGGCCTTAACACTGTTATTTTTCTTTGGGCTTACAGAGACTAAATTCTGGTGATGATCCTTCCATTGCCTTTCTTCTCTCGTCTGAAGCTGCATTAGCTGGAGCTGAGTCAACCAAGAACATGCAAGCTCAGGTGACAATCTCATCAATGATTCTTTGCGTTGTAGGTTGTTAGGTACTCATATACTAGGCCATGTGAAAAGATGAGTAAGGGGCAGAAGAGCGATATGGGTTGTTACAACCTTGCCTACGTGGAAATGAAGGTATGAAGGAAGAGGAAATTGTTAGAGGCAAAGATAAAAGGGAGGGAATAGTTTTGGGGACTTTGGGAAGGGAGGTGTAGACCCTCAAAATTGTGCAGTGTTCTATTCTCATCTCTCTGATAAATTTCTTGTTCCAATCATAGCAAAAGTTGTAGGTGATAATTAATGCAAGTTACTCTCATGTTAATTAGTGCAAGTCATTACAAGAAAAGGTGATTGAGTATAGATTAAGAGGAGGAACGAGAATTGCGAAGAATCAATTTGGTTTTATGTCAAGAAAGTCTACAACAGAAGCAATTTATCTTTTATGGAGGTTAATGAAAATGTGCCGAGGACTAAAATATGGCGATTTCCTATTTTGAGATGATCGTTTTGAATAGTAGAGACATTGTGGCATTTAGACATTTCAATCTAAGGATTCATGGTAACCATTATGCACTCACTTCCATGTTTTTATTCGTTGTATGGATCTGACAATGTAACAAATGCAGGCTGGGCGTTCAACTTATGTGTCGGGAGAGATTCTTTCATCAGTTCCTGACCCTGGTGCAGTGGCTGCTGCCTCGTGGTACAGAGCTGCGGCTGTAGTTGTCCAGCAAAAAACCAATAGTTAAGCTATGCATATAACTCTTCTCAATGTCTTCTTTATGTGCATATTTAGCCTAGTTGTTCCAGATAGTTATTCCTGTAACTAATAGATTCTCCACTTACGCATTTCCATCAACAGCAATATCCGTCTCAATGTGACCTTATGATTGTAATGTTCATGTTATTTTTATCAGTTTAATATTATATTCTGTTAAGCTTATCTGCTGCGGCTGTTACTAACTTAATTTCTGTATTTCCGGAAGCTTTTGATTACAAGTGTTTTTTAATACAAAATAAGTTAAACTAACTACGCGATGTATTTCTGTGCTTTTGATGTTTCCGGACAAACTCAAATCGCTGATACTATCTTTTTAGTTCTCAGAATAGAAATGTCTTGTATTGGATTGAATAAGGTCAAGGCTCTATTGTTGTTGAATTAAAATCTAAACAACTACTAAAATAAAGCTTATATAACTATGTAAAGGCTTTTGTTAAAACTAGGCAAGTCCATGTGTCGAATAGAATGCCATAAAAACGGGTTGATAGCTCATTTCTTTTCATATAGAAACTTATTTATTTAATGCAAGAGAAGAGGAGGCAAATGGTTTAAGTGTAAAACTATTGAGCACTATCAATGTTGCACATTAAGTAAATTAAAATGACAATAATTTATAGTGTATTTCTCTTGCAAATTGTACCGAAAGTTGTAGGTTTTCTCTAATACAACAGAGTTGCTTCTATAGGCAATTTTCTTTTACTATGTGTCGCATCATTACCTTTTAATGGTTTAATTTCTTCGGTAACAGGTGCTTAGAAATGAGACAGACTTGTAAAGAATCCTTAATAGCGCTTTTAATGGTGCAATCACGGTAGAGTTGTTTAACTCAGTTTTAGTGAGTCTTATAATACAACATGAGATTTAAGAACTTTAATAAGTTTTTTCTCCAATAGTGTAATCCTTGGGAACATAAAATACAACTTGAGTTGTAAGGTGCATTTTGGTGCATGTCGGCTATTGATCATGCTATATATGTCAAAATGGTTATTAGAAAAAGGATGGAGGGGAATGGAACTGTAGTGCTGGCTTACATGTAATACATTTATTTGCCTTGCTTAGTAACTTAGGCACATCATGTACTTGGAATTACTTTTATAATCAATGATGTGGTTTGGCTTATTAAAGAAAAGTCTTGGATGAGTTCGTTGGAGGGAGATGCAAAATATATGGTTTCAACTTGCAATTGTTCTTTTCCCAGATAACAAATAATTTAATATTAAATCAAAAGTAATAATTTTTTTGTATAAGTAAATCGAAAACATTATTTAGTATATTTATCTGCCTTATCAAATTCAATTGTCAATTTGTCTCGTAAATTCAACTTGCTGTTGGAAATATTGTGTGATTTTGAACGACTTTGCAATGCAGTGAAGTTGTTTGATGATCAAAGTTAGAGCAACAGTAAATCAGCGCGTGATAGATCCGTCGTTTTCATGTAAGGATTGTGAATGAATTACTATTTAGACTTTCCTCTCAATTCTCATAAGACATGCCCTGCAAAGAATCTATTGTGTTATCATAGTGTCGTCTCTTTAAACATGTGCGTCTCTCAATCTTCAGCTTTTCATTCATTAGATATAGGGACCATATCACTTCACCTAAAAATAAATAAATACAAAAATAAGAGAATATTGTTGATTGTATTTTCGGCCTGGCCTGCCAAGTGCATGGTGGCATTCATATAATTGAAACTAAAAAGTCATCGATTAATCATCAGTAGAAAGAAGATATATAGGGTTGAATGTGGTGTAAGTTATCTAACATATGTTGCAGTTAGATAGCAACTTATATTAAGAATGCATGTGGTGTCCCTAATTGGAATGGCAGAACCTGAGTGGTTTCACCAAAACCGTGGTCTTGTAGTTAGGTGCTTAAATTTGATTCACACAAACACTTGATTGGCATTGGCTCTTGTACAGACAAGATCATCTCGTGTTCCACATGGTGTGAGAGTGCAAGTTACAAGAGTGGGTGCCATAACGTAACCCATTCTAATACTAACTTCCTTACTTGTGCAGGAAGGGATCCATGACATGAATAACTACCTTTTTTTTTTCAATTTGCGTACAAAACAAGGTAAAATTGCCTCCATGAGACTCAGTGGTCCTGCAAACAATTACATGCTGCTATTATCGTCTTCATCTTGTAATTATTCCTAAATTGAGTCAACTGGTTCCACAAGGGGAAAAGTTGAAGTAGAACACATATGGTTAATAACAATGTTTTCAAAAATAAAACCGTATACATCGAAAAATGTTTTAACATACCATCCGAATCAAATTACATATTTAAAGGTGTGTATGATAAAACTAGTTAGTAAGCTGATAGAAAATTTATAAATAACTTAAAAACTTATAAGTTTGAAGCTGAAAATTTTCAAGTTTGCTAGCTTATTTGAATTAAAAGTATTTCTTAAGATTACCGTTGATAAATGTAAAATGATATAAATCGAATTTTATAAAAACTGTGAGAGAATGATAGAATAGGTAAAATGATTTATAAGTTAATGCAATTTAACACAAGTAGTTAAAGTCTCGTATCAAACTTTCACCTTTTTCATGAGGGAATTCGAATCTCCATAACATTACTTTCTCCCTTATTAACTAGGAATTAGTTGAGTAGTCACATATTATGATTTTTTTTAACTTAAATAATACTATTTTAAATTTTTTTTAACCAAATAACAATTGTGCAAATTTATTTCTCCAACTAGCATTATTCACTGTTCACGTTTAGAACGGGTCGTTCTGATTTCAGAATGGGCGGTTCTGGATTCAAAATTAGCATATAAAATGTGGAACCAGAACGAGCAGTTCTGAATCCGGAATGGGCCGTTCTGACCTATAAATAAAAAAAATTTAGTTTGATTTTCACTTATCAAATACCAAAATTCAGAAACTAACATCAAATAATTAAATTTATTGAATATTAACATTACAAATATAACTAAATAAATTTATTAAAATTCAATACAACAATAAAGATCAATGGTGGCAGAAACTGATTATGTTGTTCTCTAATGTCCATATTTATTTTAATTCTGCGCTGGACTTTAGCTGACCCGCTGGAAAACTGATTATGTTGGCAAAAACTAATTATGTTGCTCGCATGACCCGCCGGGAGATTTACCGTAAGACTAAATGAAATGTGGTATGATTGCGACAAGTTCCAGAAAGTTCATATTCCTTGCTCGCATAACCCGCTGGGAGATTTACAGTAAAGCTAAATGTAATGTGGTGTGATTGCGGCAAGTTCCAGAAAGTTCATATCCCTTACTCGCATGACCCACTCGGAGATTTACAGTATGACTAAATGTAATGTGGTGTGATTGCGGCAAGTTTCCGAATGGGTCAGCCAAAGTCCAGCAGGATTAAAACAGAGATGGACATTAGAGAACAACATAATCAGTTTCTGCCACCATTAATCTTTATTATTGTATTGAATTTTAATAATTTATTTAGTTATATTTATAATGTTAATATTCAATAAATTTAATTATTTGATGTTAGTTTCTGAGTTTTGGTATTTGATAAGTGAAAATTGAACCAAATTTTTTTTATTTTTAGGCCAGAACAACCCGTTCCGGATTCAGAACGACCCGTTCTGGTTCCACATTTTATGTGTTGATTTTGAATCCGGGACGGTTCTGATCCATTCGTCATGTGTTATTTTTTAATCCGGAACGACTCTTTCTGAAATCAAAACGGCCCATTCTGAACGTGAACAGTGAATGATGCTAGTTGAGAAAATAAATTTGCACAGTTGCTATTTGGGTAAAAAAAAATTAAAATAGTATTATTTGAGTAAAAAACTCACATATTATTTGTGTTTTACTTGACAATATTGAAAGTGTTTTTTCAATCAACCATTTTATTTCAGCAAAAGAAAAATATTTATAAATTAAAAAGGAGTAAAAAATTTAAAGGATTTGAAGTAAATTAACAAGAGAAAGAAAAAAGTTTAAAGCTTATAAGCTATAAACTACTTCAATTAGCTTTTGAAAATAAATTATAAACTTTATAAATAAGCTCATATAAATTTAATATCAAATAATTTTTTTTTAGCCAAACTAACTAATAAGTTAATGATATGTTTATAAGCCTATGAAATAAGTTGTTAAACACACTCTCACTTCATATTTGAAAAATAATTCACAGCTGTTTCTATGCGGAGAAATTATGAAACGATCCTGTATTGCTAATTAATTTTTATATGATATATAATTATTTGTTTTTATAAAATAAAAATTTGAATATATTAAATAAGAAGTGGTCGGGATCGTAGATAGTCAATAGTCTAAAACTAGTAAATAATTTCTCTGTTTATTTAAAAGTGTTTTTCTTATGTTAGACCACGCTCACTAATAGAATTTTTTTTATTACATGCGACTTTTCCTGCGAATTTTTCATAAAAATTTGCAGGAAACATTATTCCTGCAAATTTTTTTTGTAAAATTTTATCTGCAGGTAATACTTTCGTGGATAATATATTTTTGCGAATTTTAAAATTCGCAAGAAATTTTCCTGCGGAATTTCTTGCGAAAAAAATTCACAGGAAAGTTTCCTGCAAAAAAAACTTTGCAGGAAAGTTTCCTGCAAAAAAAATTTCGCAGGAAAGTTTCCTGCGAATTTTTTCGCAAGAAATTTTGCAAGAATACTTTTATGAAAAAAAATTAAAGAAATTACTATAAATTCTATCAATAATTTTTCAACATTCAAATACTCACAATGAATTCATCCAAAACATTTGTTTCCATGCCTCCAACATGTGATACATAATCTTTTAAATTCTAAGATTGTAGATTATAAGCTTACTCAACCATACAAATCAACTTGTAAGGTAAGTGTTGCCCTAACTTATATATTTTTTAATTGATTTATTTTCGATTGACGTGGGACTTGAAGTTTTTTTAAAATATTAAACTTACAAATTTAAATATTTTTTTTATTTTTCCTGCAGATTAAAATTTGTAAGAAAATCCGCATAAAAAGTTACCTGCAAAATTTTTCTACCAATTTAGTAAACATTACTTGCAAATTTATTTTTGCAAGAAAATCTGCAAGAAACAAAATAAAATTCTTACAATATTTTTTGCAAATTTTTACCATGGAAAAAAATTTCTATAATTATTAAAATTGTAAAAAAATTTGTAAGAAATATAT